GGCACGACGGACCGGAGCCGGGTATCAAGCGTAGACCCGCCGCTGTATGCTCCAGACCGAGGTAACCAATGCTGTTCGCAGCGGGTAGCGTGACGATGCCGCTGCCGTTGTTGGCAAAGTTGTTGTTGTTGTTGGAGAAATTGTTGTTGCCGTTGTTGTTGTTGTTGTTGACGATGTTCACCAGACCCAGGTCGGGCTGAAACTGATAGTTGGCGTTCGGCTCCTGCTGCATGCTGACCGCTTTTCGCAAATTCGTATTCGAATTCGCTTTCGGAAACGGAATCGCAATCGCAAACGCTTTCGTGCGCCTCTGATCTTCGGCGCTGCTGTGGCGCCGATAGCGACGCTCTACGCTGGTGCTGGTGGTGGTGCTAGTGGCTGGTGGCGGGGGTGCTTGAGGGGCCGTTGGCAGCGGCGGCGGCGGCGGCGGCGGTGGCTGCTCTCGGGTGCCGCTCTCTGGGCTGATGTCCGGTGGCTTGGCCTCGGTGTCGTCTCTGCTGATTAACGCTGGCTGCAGCTTTTGGTATTCGGCATAGACAGTGACGGTTGGTGCGGTGGTTGTGATTGGTGGTGCATTTGTGTTGCTGCTGCTGCTGCACGGATCATTTGTGCAGCTGTGCTGTTGTTGTTGCTGGTGGCTGTTGCTGTTGTTGGCTGGCCGCTTGGTTGCGAAGCACAGCCGATCAAAGCAAAAACGCATCCAGGCGGCTTTCTGGAAGAACCGCCGCCACGTGGAATTTGCTCAGCTCGTTAAACGAACACCTGAAACACACAGAGAGTGGGAGAGAAAAGTTGTGTATTAGTTGTAGCGGGCAAAATCTGAATCTTATCGTCAGCTAATCAGCAGACATTGAAACTGATTTACAACAGTTGAGATTATGCGCACAAAAATATTGGCAATAATTTTTTTGATTGACTTGTTCACTGTCAACCTCAGCCCCGCCCAAATTCAAGACAAACGCCTCCGCTTTAGACATGCTAAATGTCGGTCCACACAAATTAGCAGCCGTTAACAGTTAGCCCTAAAAAATTATTATCTTCATAAAAATATCGCTTTTAGGCGCAAATAAATAAACTTAAAGTACGTGTGCTTGCCTTAAAGATATCGTTTATTTATTTTAAATGGCAGAACATTTTACGAATTTATTTAAAAAGTTTGGCATAATTATAAAAAAATTTGTTTTGCATAAAAATAATTTGTAAGCCCATAAATAAAAAAATGTTAAAATAAGTACAATAAATATTGTTGAGCTATTTTATATTCTAATCCCATGGGTTTTTTAAAGGAACACTATTTATAGATTTTTCATAAGGGAAAACGAGTACGCGCAAAATGTCTGATTAAGAAAAGTTGATGCATGTTCCAGGTCTTTGGAGATTTCCACCCACAATTGTGTAAAATATATGTGGCCTATTGAAGCATGGATCTATTCCAGGATAGGGACGGATACATGGACAGAAAGTGTATACAATATTGCTTGATGGAACTTTGAGAAAACACTTGGTCGGGGGAATATTAGTTAGTTTCCGATAATAATCAGTTCAGGCAAGTTTTTGGCCTTCTCCCATCGAGAAGCTGTAATGTTTATTTTCTTATTATATAGGGACTGGTTTCAGGATTTAAAAAAAAATATAGAGCCCAATATTAACCATATATGAGACTGAGCGTAATCGTAAAAAGCCAAACAATGAGAACATTTAAATGACTTTTAATTTAATTAAAAGCTTAAGTTAGCTTTTTAATATGTATTTATTTTTTAATGTATTTTATTTGTTTTGCCAGCAATTTTGGCTATAACATGACAGGTATGGTATATATATAAAAACCACGCTTCTTTATATAATACGAAACAATTTAAACTAAATGCCTAAGCATATCTAAAATTTATTAGGATAAGACTTCTTGCTTTCAATGCAATATGCTCAGTCTCTAGCTAAAGCTTCAATATTGGTAAATTAAATTGAATACAATATATTTGTCACAGCCCTTTCAAATATACCCCACTGCGTCTTTCTAGTCTAGGGTATATAGATATATAAACATAACATGACTGGGCGGCTTTTCGAATGTCTCTATCGCCCGGGGAGCCGCTCGACTATCGCCGCTAAACGACAGACACGCCTTAAGTCTTTTGCGATATCAGTGCGAGTTTTGTTTTATTTTGGTATCTTGATACTCGTTATGCGTACGTTATTCTTGTTATTAAACATTTCAGGTAAAAAATAAAAAGTGTCCAAATGCCAAGAACGCAATGGAGAAACTGGCACAGACAACTCTTGACATATTTCTGTGTCTGTGTCTGCTGTTGTTTTTGGCTGCGCTTAGACAATAATTCAATTCACCGCAATTCAAACGAAATGAAAATCTAAAAATATGCCAAATCTAAACACGGCAAAGGTGAGCTATAAACGATTAGCAATCAGGTTTTAGCGAGAAGCATCCCCGAGTGGGCTGCCGACGGTAACAGGGGGCCAGAAGATCAGCAGAAGTTCGGGTCCAGTTAAATCAGGTTGCCACCAAGAGTGGCAAGTAATGAGAAAAAGAGGCAACAGCTGGCATGCAAAAATTGCTATGATCCAAAAGTATCAAATTGAAGAACAGGCTGAAGAACTCGATGATCACTTGGAGATCCAACCAAGCGCTTGCCGGAGTATTATAGAGCTACACTGAGAAAATTTCCACTTGATGGTAAATTTCTAGAATCGATATAGTTATTAACAGAGTTCCCTTTCAGAACTAAATATATTTGATGATCTTGAGGATGAATTGAATTGAATTGAATATATTATGATCTTTCACCTACAGAAAATCTCAATACATTTTGTGCTCAGTGTATTTAACTTGTGTTGTAGTCTTTTGCGTAGGTGTAAAAACATTAAAAGTTGCCACTCGACAAGTTGAAGATCGGCTTGAAACCTGAAGAGCAGTTGGCAAAAAAAACATAGCAGATGTGCTGATCGCATAAATTAATTTTGGACTTCGACTTGTCAACCACTTGACGAGATCGAACTAAAGATGTTTGCTTACAGGGCTATGAGAACTGCGTGTAAATAAACTTCAGTGATCAAAAACGTGTTTTTTTTTTTGCATTTGAAAAAAGCGGACTTTTTTTTTTAATATTAAACTGATAAATACGTAAACAAAAAGTGAATAAAAAAAAACCTTGAGTTTTTTTTTATAGATGAATAATCTGCAAACACTGACGAGACGATTTTCTATTGCTAAAACTACAGCTGATCAATTGCAAAAACGTTGTGTTTAAAAAACAAATATTTTAACTCAGTCAGTTAATTTATAAAAATTTCCAAGCAGTTAACTGGCTGTAATCTATTTAAAGAAAATTAATCAGATTTAATTGTTGTTTACAAGTAACTGAGACATATATATTAATGATCAGTGATAATTCTAAGAAACTGCTCTCATTAAAACTATGAATAGGTTATGGATTTTCTTTTGTTTTCCATAATCGAACTTTTGTCAAATTATGTTAAAAACAATGTTATATTAGGTTGCGACCGTTTCAAATTTGCTTGCAACTGATTTAAAAGCAAACAAGTAAGATGGGAGTGCCCGACTTGGAGATACCCTGAAGATTCTACCATCTGGATGGACGGACAGACGGACAGGCAGACGAACATGGCTAGATCGACTCGACTATTGATTAAGAATATATATACGTTGTGCGATCGGAGATGCTCCCTTCTGCCTGACACACACATTGATACAAACACATTATACCCCTTTTTACCCTTTTCAATGGACTTCGAATATAAATTATTATTAAAAAATATAAGCTATAAGTAAAGCGCGTAAAACCCAACGATCATATGGCATATAATATTCAAATAGAAATATCTATAGTTCATTTTGAAGGATCAGCAATCTTATTTTAGGGTTCTTAGGAAGAGCTGCTCGCATATTTCATAATTATGTTATCTTGATCAGTAAGCCATCAGCGATCGCTCTTAACTAATTGACATATTTACCCATCTATTCGCTTTGTGTTATCAGTTTTATGCAAAACATTGATCGATCATTGAAGCCGAGCAGCTATGCAAAACGATCGTATTAAATGCTAATTAGCATTTTAATGATCGCACAGCGGATTTATAGTCGATTTGTATGCCAAGCTGTTGTTCTGACAAACAATGCGAATACAAAATAAAAACAATGGCAAACTAATGACATTGGGGACGCCCCCAGTGAGAAGTAGGGGCAATTACAGCGCGTAATTGGGCGCGAAATGAAATAAAAGCAAAAACTACAAAACAATACGAAATTTTTGCTAGATGCGAAGCCGAAAAAAAGTGTTGCAAAACAGATAAAAACAATCGAGAAACGACGACGAAAACAATTGACACAGAAAGCGTAGATATTGTCGTATTATTTATAGAACAATTGACAGGCCACTCAAAATATTGGAAACCAACCGTCTCCGTTCCCGTTCCGCTCCCCAAACCCTTCCATTCGACATGTGCCATGGCTTTTCAATAAATGTGTATGCCCAATGTGAGGCAGAGGCTTTTGGGCCACTTAAGCGCAATTACGCGTGCAATTTGTTTTCATCTCGAGCACATAAATAATAAACACACGAACCGGCTGTGGCGTATACGTAATATTTTAAATGATTTTATATTTTTATTGTCATTTAAATGATGCTCCACCCCCTCCTATCCACCGCCCCTCACAGCCTCTTCATTCAGTGCGCCAGTGGAAACAGGTTCTTAACTTTAATTTGTATTATGAATATATTTACAAATATTGGCTGCCCCCCCGCGACCCGCAGCCTGTTGTTGCACCCAGCATTGTTCAGGCAATAAAATGTGTGGAAGGCGCCTTGGAATGTCAACGCTACCCAATCGAGGGTATTAACATCAATCGATCGTGAGTTCAATCATGCCACTGATAAGCCCGCAACGTCGCCCCGAAAACCATCGGCAGGCATTTAAATATAGAAACAATGTTGATCTGCGGCTCGAAACATATGTCGACACCATATCGGGTAGTTTTTGCGAGCAATGTCAACAAATTGTACACGATTGAAAATCTCAAATCTTTCATAAGTTTACAAAGTCAGGCGAAGGCGGGACTCTCACACATTGGGCGAGTGATCGCTGCAGTTCTTCAACTGATCTTGCCTTTTGCATGTAACTAGCTAATTAAATCTAATCTAAATAAAAAGTAAGTGATCCCATTTGCTAATGAGTAAGCACTTTCGACTTAAACGATTGCTGCCATAGATGATTCATGCCAGATGATCAGCCTATTGTTGAATGTCTAAACACTGAGGAAATAAACATTCGCGAACAAGGAACTATTTAGTAAGCATTTACGACTACGTGAAAAGATCGCCAAAGATTACACGGCGCTGTTTACAATGGTTCTCTAACTCACACGAAATGTTTTCATTGAAAGTTAATTGAAGGATAAAACATTGATACAAAGGTAAATTAGCTAATATTAATTTATACAAAGCGTGTAAAATAAGTTGTAAATAACTTTAAATAGTTGGAAGGGATCGACACACAGTTTGGAAATTTGGAAATAAACCAAAGGTAAAGTATTTATGATGAAATGCGGTTTGATCAAATGCATACTACATTTTTAGATTTATAGATTTAATCTGCTAAGTTCAAATAAAAGTTGATTACTCAAAAGACCAGAAGACAAAACGGGACAACATTTAAATAAGGCTAATAAAAAATGTTTAACTGGGGAGCCCCAATTTCTGCTTGAGAAAAATTTGGAATAGTTAACGACAATGAATATTTAACAAGCACAAAGTATTATTAATCTGTTTAAAAATAGATTAATGAATAGAATATTGTTTTAAGAACAAAAAATCGTAAAGAAAATGCAGCAAGCTTTTCGGGGTTCCCTTCTTCTGTTCCTTAAACTAAAACGGAATAGCCTAATTCTTACGGGAAATATAAGAAACAATAAAATTTATTATATTCGAAGGAAAAAATAAGTTGAAACTAATAAAAAAGACTGCATATTATTAAAGTAAAAAGTTTTCGAAAGGCAGACTATAGAGAAGTGTACCCCTAATAATTAGAAACAGAATAAGATATATGGAACAGTTTTAACATAATAACACAAAAAGTATAAGTAAAAATAAAATCAAAATGGCTGCCGTGACTAAAAATTCTGATGTATAACAATCAAACTAGAGCTAGCTAATTGGACAGGCCCGTTTATTTACCAAATATTAATGCTAATTCTAAGCTGTCGTATATGTATTTCCTGGCCCGATCATTATCATGTGACATTCCTCTAATTGTTAACAGCATTCTTCACTTGCGACTGTTAAGGCAATGTAATGATCAAATTTACATTAACATAAAACTAAAATGTATGCTCCTCCCCCCCTCTTGTCTGATGTACAATTGACATATTTTAGCTTCCTGATTGCAATCATCGGAATCATCGTCATCATCATTTGCTAATCAAAAGAGACAGCAAACAAAATGCCACAAGACAACTGCAAAGCATGCAACATGCATGATTTGATCGCCCGCCCAACTGTCCGGTCTGTCAGTCAACAAGTTAGCGACAAGATAAATGCACACACACTTACACGACACACATAAGCACACACACACATGCGCGAAGCATGCCAAAAATGCAGCGCATTCGAATCATTTAAACATAATTAAGCGGTTAGTCGGCCGTATAATTTGGAGTGGACAGCGTGGGGGGAGTGTGTGGAGAGCGTCTAGAGTGTGGGGAGTGTGGTGAGTCTGGAGTGTGGGGAGGTAAGTAGCTGCACCCTGCAACCCGACAACTCGCGTACACCCTCTTGCTTATCAAGATCAAATTGAGACATCAATTGAAAGTTATGTCGAGACTATAACGGGAGACAGTTGCTCAGAATGTTTATGTGTGCATGTATGTGTGTGTGTGTGTGTGTGTGTGTTATAATTATAGGTTCCAATAATTGTCAAGTGTCGGACTTGCTGTCATTCTGTCTGCGCTTCCTCAGCCCAAGGCAAATGCTATACACACACACACACACGCACAAGCACACACTCACACATATAAAGAAAGAAACAATTGACAACGAGTATGAGCCGGAATTTTGTGACTCTTTTCTTTACAGCACATTCGCATATACGTAAATTGATCGAGGCAACGGCAGCCGTTTCTATATCAGAAACTCGTGCAATTATTTAAGTTATTTTTAAACATTTTGTTCGCATACCCTTTACGCAGGGCCATATACCTTATGTTAAGCCCTTCTTGAGAATTCAATTTTATGCATGCAGCAAGGGAATATGTATATAGCTTAACCGAACGATGCACTATTTTATAAAGTTACCATCGCAACATACATAAAATATCAGTCCAAAATACAAGAGTTCATATTTATAAAACTAAAAATAAAATACCAAAAAAAAACTACTTTATCTGCGAAAAACTAAAAATAATATATCGGTCAAAATATAAGACTAAGATATTTGTGAAAACAAACAAAAATAGGATAATTCTAACGTTTATCTAATATATCTATCTATTATCCTATATCTATGATCTATTATCTATTTTTAACTGTCTATTATCTGTTATCTATCTGTCGCCTTATTTTTTTATATATCCAAATCATTTAGTATATTTTATTCATTTCAGGTACAAACTTCAAAATGAATGAACGGTTAAAACTGGAGCGTCAGTAGATTTGCTTCCAGATATGTCAACTTAATCCAATAAAAACCCAAATTTTACAAATTCAATTTCATATAAATGTGTTCTACAGATATATATTTATAGTTTTTTAAAATTGGAATCAAGAAATTTATAAAATTATCATGTTTCTGTTACTATTTATTGGAAAACGTTAAAAATACTATTTTATTATTAAGAAGTCTGTTAAAATCCATAAACTATCGATCAAATGAGGCTCAATCAATAAAGTGAAGTTTTCTTCAATAACTTTCTGCTTTTGCCCGTAATTATCCAAATTAAATATGATTATATCATATCATTAAATGGACAATTTACTATCTGATTTTAGCAAGAATCCGGATGATCACAATGCAAGGGTAATAGATGTGCGGCTTAAATATTTTGTTGTTGTATTTGTTTGACAAGCAATTCATAAAATTAAATATGTTAGTCGCTGGCAAAATGTCGTTAATTCTGTGACTTATTGGCAGAGTTCCCGATTGACCCGCTGAACAGCGAATGACCCCGACTAATTACTAATTACGCACAAATCGCAGCTGATTTATGTTAAATGTAGCGAAACGTGACTTCAATGCCAGGCGATAGAGCATTACGAATCGGTATCCAAAAAGCGTACTTCACTTTTATCGGTGGGCCTTACTCAAATACTCATTAGTCCCGGCGACACGTTCGCTGATCGATCGATCGCGCGGCCCGCGAAGGCAATTGATCGCCTGATAACGCTTTTAAAGACAGCCAGATACAAATGGAGTCCGTGCCAACTAGTTGGTACGGTTAGTTTAGTTGCTGGCATTAAATGTGCTAGTTTTTCTTTTTTTTTGTTTTTGTTGCCACGCCTATCTATGGAGGCGCAAACAGTTACGACTGCGACGCGTTTACATGGCGAACAAATATATCGCGAAAATATCGCGCACTCCATGGAACCTCAATTGACATGCGGCTCACGTTCGATCAATTAAAACCTTCGCACAGCAAAACGCAACGGGACAACGGGAAATAACAGCCGGAGAGAGAGAGCGAGAGAGGTAGAGGGAGAACAGAGAGCGAAAATCGAAATCTCAGAGAAAATTGAAAGCAATAATAAAATAAAATAGCAAAATACATAACATAGCGAAACAAGTGCGGAATTAGATTGGATTCGGTTGGGTTTTGGGGCGGTTCAAGGGGTTGATTTATGTATGTATGAAGTGTGTGTGTATGAGTGTGTGTGTGTGTTTGTGTGTGACTAAGGTAATGGCTGGCAATGGAATGCCAAGGCTGGGTCTGTTTACAAAGTGTAGGAAGTATCGTCCATAGCTGAAGACAAAGATAGTTCCACATGGAAAACTCGAAGCCCTTGATAGCGCTTGCAAATGCAGAGTATCCGTAAATAAAACAAAATCCCTGTTAAACATATGTACGTGAATAATTTAAATATTTAGAGCTGAATTTATAATAAATTATTTAAAAACGGCTGAGGAATTGGAAAAAGCTCTTGAAATTCTTTTTTTACTACTCTAATAAAAAAATACATTGCACATTTTATTATAAAAATAAGAGAAAAAAAAAAATAATTTTTAAAAAATAGACCTATAAGGAACAGTTTTAGCAGGGGGAAAACATTAAAGGGAGTACTCCTCGAAGACCAAGGGAAGAAATACTTTAGTTACAAAAATAATCTTCCGATATTTATATAATACGTTTGGTATTATAATAATAATTATAATAATATAATATATATATATAAGAAGCGTTAATTTTTATTCACGTTTTTAATTTTAAATTCAAGAAATAAATCATTTATTCTTCAGATGGGTTTGTCTTAGATTTTTTTAAATTTACACACATACAAAAAAAACACATACATTTCTTTATCAAATACATATATGTATATATAAAAAAGTAATATATATACTAGCGGGTATTGCCCGGCCTTGCCCGTGGAACGTTTTGTGCTAAAAATTTCCCTTTCCACTTAGTACACGCCTGTGAAAAATTGAAATCAACCCAATTTGATCTCCACTTTTATTTAAGCATTAAGCTTTCCTAGATCCGTTTATAAAAATATAGATATATATATAGATAGATAGATCCAAGAAAGTTTCACATATTTTTCTTTATTTTAAAAAATAAAATTGCTTCAAGATTAGTTGTAATGGAACCTCCAGAAGAACTCGGATCGAACGGCCTGCATAGTAAACCTGACCTATTCGTAACGTTGCTTATAACTCTTCAAGAACGTTTTGCGCTAGAAATAAGTATATACATAATTGATAGAAATACGAAGTAGGCTTAAAACAATAAAGCAGGAACCAGAAGAAAGAACTTCTAAGTAAACGCAGAATATAAAAACAATAAACAATATCAACATGAAGAGCTTTCAAAATGAGTTTCTGTCAACACAATTCTCAGAGAGTTAATAGACCTTTTCTTTATTGCAAATTGTGGTAACTGGTATAAAGTATTTCAAGTAATAAATTGCACAATAAAGATATGCCACGCGATAATAAAATATAAATCATAAGAAAAAGAAAGTCTAATAAAACGGCAAATACAAAGCTTTCGCCAACTGTAGATAAGTTTTTTTTCTCAAATCAAATGCAAACTCGAAGCCAATTTGCAAATATGCGTCACATATTAGAACCGAGTTTTGTGATCTGCCAAATAGAGCAATTACAACTTTCCATTATAAATAGAGCTGGGCAAACAAGCTGAACATACTTTACATATGTAACACACACACAGACACACACATACACTGATATACAGATACACACATACACACACACAGCAGGCACACGCTTTGGCATTTCCGTCATGAGCATTAAGCAGCCCATCGAAATGCCATCAAACATGCATTTCGCAGTCAAGCGA